TGCAACCTGATACAAGATTGATCAATTGAACCTGCATTTTGGGCTAACTCAGTATTTTAGTATGTGTGCTTGATAATTTCTAGTTAACAAGCACTGATCCTGTGCTTCAAGGATAAAACCTTCCGTTTCAGCTTTTAACCCTACACTACGTGGCCACCGGGGTGTACAGGGCTTGTCTAGATCAGCTGGTTTGGTAGGGCAAAGTATTAGCCATGAAGCGGTTTATCTTACCATTGTTTTTGTATCTGATCGATTGCATTTATTTTTGCTTTCTTTTTATGTATTTTGCAGCTTCAGTATTGTGTTTTACTTGTATTACTGAATACATGTGAAACTCCATTTTGAACTTGTATTATTATTATTATTATTATTCATTCGTTGCATAATAAGACCTACGCTTACACTGCTATTGGAGAGCAATTTTCAATATTTCACTAGGGAAATAATGGGAAGTCGATTTTGATTGGCTGTGCTAACGTGGGAATGATAGAGTAAGGTTTTTCAGAGAGTTGTTTCTTTACCGTCAAACAATGTAGACGTGTTTCTCTTTTCTGTCTGAAATGCTCCCCCGCAGCGAGGGGAACGACGCCCACTGGATAATACTTGTCAACATTAATAAAATAGTTATGTGAAAATTCTGTGTTGGAGTCTTTTCATTGCCGAACCAAATCAACTAGCTATTGCCGGCCAAAAGAAGACGAGATGAGACCACACCCACTAGGGTAGGGGGAGGCTATGCAACATAGTGTTTTCTATCTGTCATGTAGATGAACTCAAATGTTACCCTGCTTTCCTTGTTCCTCGCGTTTTTTCCTAGGCTTTTCGGAACGGATTGAGACGTTTTAAAATTTAATGTTCAATATCTTCATTTTAATTTTGTCATCTCAGGTATTCTTAAGGCAAACCTACAGAAAATCGGAGGTATCACCTCCGAGCAGACTTTGTGACCCCATTCTCCTAATGTGACGTTTAGTTCACTCAAACAAGCAAGATATTTGCGACAAGACGTTTTGCTGCTTCGATTCATGGGTAACAATCCATTTTAGTAAACCCCTGTCTGGCCCTTGGGTCTTATATTGGCTAAAAGACAGTAAAAATGTCTTCAGTTGATGTTGTACTATGTTTTATATTGCGGGCTTTTAGCATATGTAAGTGATTATTACAACGTTGTTTTTGATCGATATCAAAAGCGACACAGTTTATCTTTTAAGATGACATCTGCATAACCATTTAGTGAAACTTCGATACACATTCAGCTGATAATGGTTAGTAAGCTTCCATTTTCTGAAATGCAATCTAGAGACATGAAAGTCTACACACACACACACACACACACACACACACACACACACACACACACACACACACACACGCACGCGCGCGCGCGCGCACACCCACAGACACTCACACACATGTATGTATAATATTTTGACGGTGTAATGTTGTGATAAATTTCAGTGTAATGAAATTGTCCGGTGTAAACAGGTTTCATGTTACAGAGACGAATACGTAACTCTTTGTTCAATTAGAGCTATTTTATTTAATACTAGATGTGAGGGGATGCTGATTTCTTTCCCCTGTAAAGGACGATAACTCGAAATACAATGGAATGACTTCCCTCGTCTTTGAAGCGCGCGGCACTTCTCAATGGAACATAAGGAAAAGCTGACACACACGTAGAACTTATGGCTTCAATCCAACCAAATACTTGCTGTACTCAGAAAGTGAATGGATAAAAGTTGTTTTAATATGTGTTAAAATACACTTGTTTTTAATTTCATCTCAACATCCTGGGATTAATATTAGAAATATGAATGAACAGAAAAAAAATGACAACGTAAGAAAATCTCATAGTAATATACAATTTCAAGAACCGAAATAATTGGAATGATAGCCGTTGCAGACCACACAACATCCACGGCACTAATGCAAGACAATGTAACCACACTGAGCGATGGGAATCGTTTACTTGTAGTAAGACAAATAGTAAACGTACCTCCAATCAGATGTCCACTTATTCCATAACAGATTCATATCGTGAGAGGATCGTAAGGTCGTTCTATATTGTGTAATGATGTGTTTAACTGCTATTGTCATAAAAGAGATGATCGTTTGCAAGAGCGGCTGTTACTATTTTATTATTATTTAAATCCACTCCATACAAGGTAGTAAAGCCATAGAGACGAACAGGGTTAGTGTATGTGAAATAGAATTAAGATTGCTAAAGAGCGAGAAGAAAAGAAGCGTAATCAAGAGGAGAATCGATAGCTATTGACATCCCATTTAAATTATTGCAGATTAATGTTGGCTGGAAAGCATGGTGCTGGAAGGCAGTTTTACAAACGACAACAGCGAGAAAAGAAACAGAAATATAATTTACGGTTACATCTCGCCAGCTCAATTGTAAATTGATGAGGTTTTGATGAGCGATATCTTGAATTCACCAACGACTCACAGGTACAACATAGAACATTATGTTGTGAGATTAGCCTGTGTTTCC